TTCCCTTTGCTAAACTGAAATGGGATTCATTCTGCAGTAAAGTGATTCCAATCAGAATTTAAAATAGTCATTCAATAAGAGCCGCCGCTGTGCGTTGAGCGGATACCTTTACACGCCATGATCATATCCGACGGGGAGGGGAGGGAGATAATGGGATGACTCGTTCTTCCTCCATGGGTGTGGATAGCCATCATCACTGGTGAGGGTAATTGTTGAAATTTTGAAATGCTATTAGATACGTGAGGACATCATTTCAATTTTGGAAAAGATGTCTAGAAGTACCATGACATATATCGAAGCCGAATGATAGCTATCTGAGTGGTTTCCTACTAACTGTGAAGTTCGCCAGGGAAATGAACATTCGCCTTTGTTATTCAGCATTATTCGACATCTTTCACTCCGAAACAGAGCTAACTCCGAAAAAGAGGCAAATATATACAAATCCGTAGTTCAGTATAGTAACCCATTATTGAACAAATAGACAATCGAACATGGATCATGCGAAAGATAATATTTAAAGAATTGTTGCATTTTTATTTATTTTATTCAGAGTTACTCCATACATGGGACTGTCTTGGAATAGCGCGCTGCTCGAGGGTACTGCATATTGTACTTACAAAAATAAACATCCTCACAGTTGGAAGTTACTGTCTAGCTGTCGAAACACCTGTCCTAACGCTTGGCCCTTGGTTGAATTTCTTGTGGTCTACTGACCTGTCCGGCTTGTGACAGTTACAGGTGTTTATGTAAGTATTCTACCAAATTAATGTTAATGCTAATTCTTTAAATGCATTTTCACCGTGTTTCGAAATTTATTTTGTGCACTATGTTGTAGCTAGAAATACCGTACATTAAAATGATTTAATTAATTTATTATTACAGAGACCATTAAAATGGACAAAAAGAGCGAAAAACGACGACAATTCAAATTAAAAGAAAAGGAGGCTATTCTGGAAGTAATATACACTGGGAAGAAGGAAAGCCATGTTGCGAAATAATTTGGTATTGCTCCTTCGACACTGTCTACAATTTTAAAAAAAGATCGCAAAAAGACTGAAGACAGGATTAGGGAGAGCATTAGGACCTCAACGAAAGAAGATTCAAAATACATCGACAAAGCTGCTTTTTCATGGTTACAGAAAGAGAAATATCCATAACAGTGGTCCAATATTACGCGATAAAGAATTAGATTTTTGGAAACTTCTAAGGCAGGATAATTTTCAAGCAACTGTTGGAGAAGAGAACGATGTACTACACGATCGGGTTAACAAATGGTGTGCTGG